GTGATGTTGAGATTCTTCACTAACATGACACATAGTTAACCTTCCCTCCACCCCCCTTATAACTAAAATGAGTTTTCTTCTTTTAAAACTTCTTTTATGAAGTCAAGCTTGTATAAAGGTAAGTAATTGCATACTTCTGCCCTTAATTCCCTTTTAAAATCAAATTGGTAATTTCCCCACTGGCAAGAAGTCTATTGCAACTTGGTGATCCTCGGTTTCTGAGGTTCTAGATCTTCACAGGTGGATACACCACCACAGATCAGCGATTTCACTCACTTGCTCTCATAGTTGTGGAAATGACACTTCACTGCCCCTTCATTTGGTGTTCCAAGACTTTAAATCACACAGGAGGGAAATGCCTGGCTTTCTTCCATGGTACTGCAGGTAGAGCTTAACTGCCAGAAGAGTAGGGATTTAGGATTAGCTGTCAAATTCCCTGTAGACTACCTATACCACCAGATTGCCCTGACACTGGTGATGTTGTTGGGTGCCACTGAGCCAACTACAACTCACAGCAACCCTGTAAACAATGGATCTAATTTTTGCCCTATTCCACAACTTTCAAGATCTTCCTCTCTTTAATTCTAGCTTCTCTTCTTCCACTGTTCTCTGCTCAGCCCAGCCTACTCCTGGCCCCAGATATCTTTCTGTGACAGAACATGCCCACAAACTTTTCCTTTGTGTTTCCTGCCATCTGGAACAGCTTTTTCTACTTCATCCACTCTGCTGCTCCAAATCTTGAGGGAATATATTCTAAAATTGGTTTTCTTCTTTAATCTTTGTAATCGTACTTCTAAATACATGAAATGATTTTCTAAAAAGACAAAATATGTTGTAAACAAGCCCATAAAGATGTGTACTTCTAGCAAAATCTAAGGTATAAAAATCAAAACACAAAAACTAAATTACTTGAGATTTCATTTGGCAGGAAAATATCTTAAGGGGTGATTTATTAACAATATTGAAATAAAAGATTACATGATCTTGGTGACCACCTAACCTGCTTTAGTATAGATTACAAAGCAATGTAACTTAAAAGTTTCCCAAAGAGTCATAAAGGAGGGGAAAAAGTTAAATGATGAAATGGCTTACTAAAAGTGGGTTATTCCTATTCCTTCCATTGAGGTAGTTAAAGTGTATCTTTTTAGTGTTTTAAATCTGATACATATTGAAGCTTCATGAAGAAAGAAGGATGCATGCAGGAAAGAAAGTCAGATAGACATGGACAGAAACACAGTGTGTGTGTGTAACACGCGTGCACACGCAAGTCAGAAGTGTGATGTGTTTGTTATACAAGACCCTGTTGAGAATTGTGTTCTATTATAGGCTAAAGCCGTTACAAGAAAAATTATGTCAAATAAGAACAAGATTGAACATTTAATTTAAAGTTTTGCTTGCAAAGATTTTTTTGGTGTGTGTGTGCAGTGTGGTACTCGGTATCCTCCTGGAAACAAACTAAATTTCATAAATATAAAATCCTTTATTTGCACTTTATTCTACTTTCCCTCAGAAAGGACTGGAATGGCAGCATTTGACCATTTTATTAGAATAGTTGCCTGTTAACACGATTTGAAATTTTGGGGTTTATGTTTTAGATTATCTAAACTCCTTTATTAGAGCACCAGGAAACATGTTTGAGCTTAAAACCAAAAGCTCTCCAGTGAGACAATAAAAATAGTCAGATAATGGAATGGCTTACTGAAGTAAGCTATCCCCACTTTTTCCACTGAAACCATTAAATAGTGTATCGTCTTGTGTGCTTCAAATTTTATATATGTTGAAGCTTTATGAAAAAACATATCAATTGATGTGGAAAGCTTTACAGAAACTTTTAAATTTCAAGCATAGTTTATAATTTTCTTTGGGCACTACGTTATGTAAAAGTATTTGTGGTTTTTAGAAACTTTCAATATTTCTGCTAATCTTTTAGTAAAAAAGAGGCATCAATAGATTTTAGAATTCACACTATTCTTTTGAAGTCCATTTAAAAAGTTAACCATCCTATTAAAATAAACAAACAGGGACATGGAAAAAAATCTGAACTATCTTTACTTGCCAGAGTTAGCTGAGAAAGCAATTTCAAGTGTTAATGTCAATGAGGACTAAAATTAAGAAAATGCAGAGAAGATTTTATTTTCAACTGATATGTGTACAGACTTTATTCGTACATATGGACAATAAACAACTTAATGAGCTCTACAGTTAACTAATTCGAAACACTATATGCTTATAGAACTGAAAAATTATGTTACATTTGAAGGACTTTGCTAAATTCAGTGTAGCATCTCTTCTTAAAAACAAATAATTTGGCTGTTATTTTTTAACAGGAAATCTGTAAGTTCTTATGGACAATTCTTAATCACTTCAAAGGTAGTTTTACAATTATCTTTACATAAAACATTTGAAAAGGAAACTATAAGTCCTATGAAAGGTGAGTAAAAATGACTGGAATATCACATTCAGAAAACTTAGTTGGGAATTTTTCAAGAAAATAATTAGGAATTAAGTAATAACAGACTATTTAAGGAAAGCACAGTTTGGCTTCTAAATGAAAAGTATACATAAGATAATCATACTACATTTACATAACACCCTTAAGATTTTATATAGTATCTCACAATTTGGGGTTTGTTATTTTTTCCTATTAGTAGGAATCACTAAGAATCTATTAGTAAAGCTCAGATTAACATTTCAAACCCAGAAAATTCCAAATATAATTTTCCATTGCGAAACTTTGTTTATTTGAAGAAAAGTGTGGTCATGTGAAACAACACATATGAAGAACTTGTCACTTTTATAAAAGTTAAACTAGAACGCATAGGTCGCAAAATACTAGTTGCAAAAAGACGATTCAATTATTATTTCAAGCCTTCTCATCTACAAGCAGCCTACTTTACCTTGAATAACTACAAAGAAAATAGTAGCTTAAAAAATGCAAATATTTCCAGTATTTGAAGCATAGTCTACGTCAACAAATGATAGATGCTCTGATAATTAGCAAGGATAAGACAAACTATGGGTACCTCTCATTTTTATCTTATTGAATGTACAAAACACAAGGTTTACACCTTGTAATTCCAAAAGAGTTAAGGCATTTCCCCTTCTTCCTCAGAAGCATGTTTTTTTAAAATACAGGGTATCACCTTGATGCAGGCTTCCCTCCTAGGAACGTGAGAAGGAGGTACGAGGCTTGGGAAAGCGAACTGGAAGACCACACAACAGCTAGTGGGTCCTTTGCTCCCAAATAACCTTTTTAAAACCAGACACATACAATATCAATTTATTACTGAAACATTTTAAGGAGAATCTTTGTTAAATGTTAACAAAAGAACGACTAGCTTTAATTTCTTAAAATGGAATCCTTAAGGAAAAAGCAAACAAACAAAAACACATGACTCTCAAATATTTTTGTAAAGTGCTTGAATCTTTGGAGATAAATATCACTTGGTGTCTTGTTTTCAACAAATGGCTTTTTCTATTGTTTCCATTAATTTCACCCTATCCGTCTTTTAAGAAAACAAGGCCCTTAACTCCTCATCAAAGCAGAGATGTATGATTTAGCATATACAACCAGTAATTACATACTGTACTAATTCATAAAATATTTTTTCCCTTTTTTTCGGCAGTTTTCAAGAAATCTTCTCCATGATTAACTGTAAACACGAAAGGTTTATCCCTCAAATTAGAAGCCATTAATTAGCATGACGAAGTCGACTGCAATATACACAGATAATTTAAATTATTTAATCACTAATCACCTTGGCTAAACGGCAGTATACTCTTTCAATATCCTTCAGTAGCCAGTTGATCTGTCACTAAATTACCTCCAAATCAGTTAAAGATAATCGAATTGCGTTCTTTGCTTTCCCTCAGATTTACATTATCCCTTCTTGTAAAACACTTTTAAAAAGCTTAAAGATTTCTTAGTCCCAAAGAGCCATCACTAGCCCTTTTTTGTATTCAGGAAAGAGTATTTTAAGTATAAATCAGGAGTTCGCATTGCCCATATAACAATTAAAACAAATGTTTTAAAATGCACGCTTAAGGGAACGGGAGTGATAAAAGAAATATGCAGAGTGGCTTTCAGCAAATAATGGGCTCTCAAAATGCAAGTGTTTAACAAAAAGCAGCCCAAACCTCTACTGCGATATACAGCACTCCAATAAATTACACAACACTTGCATAAGCTGCAGAAATAACGCAGGACAAGACTTACACCGATGCCAATCCGCAGCATTTATACACATGCACATGGCAAGAGAAACCAAACACTATCATTCAACTCAGGCAGGAGCGCGATCCTGAGTTTGCCCAGCCTAAGAGTGCTCTCTGCGTGTGTGTCTGTGCGCGCGTGAGAGTGAGACCCATCCTCCGGGCAATTCCCCTCTTTGGGCAGTTTTGCTTCATTTGTTTCCTATTTCTGCTACATAGAAACTAACTTCCATCTCAAGCCCAGCCAGCGCCACTGAATAGAGCCTGTGCTGCGGCTCCGTGTGCGTCAGATTCCTCCGCGGAGCCGTCCCCGACCCCCTCCCTCTCGCGATCGGCCTCCACAGAGAAAGCGCTTTCTAGCCAACCGGCAGCTCGGGCTCCGACATCTTCTCCAATAGGAAATAAATAAATAAATCGCACTCCTAGCCTAGGAGGAGGGAAACGGGGCCAAATCTCTTTCGGTGTGGGAGCGCTGGCTGCGAAGGGCCCCAGGCACTCCTTTTTTGCGCCGGGGGCGGGGGCGCGAGCCGAGGACGGAGCCGGGAAGGCGGCGGACTCTTTTCTGCGGCGGAGGGATTCGCGGCGGACGCGACGGCGGCGTCTGTAGCCGCTGCCTGAGAGTTGTTGTTTCCTCCTCCTCCTCCGCCTCCGCCGCTGTTGGTTGAATGGTGGAGCCTAGGCTCGGCTCGTGAACAGACAGTGACAGCTATAGGGCAGGCGGCGGCACCATCCCCGCTTCCCCTCGGCGGCGGGGTGCCCCGCCAGCTACCCTGAAGTGACCCATAAACATGTCTTGTGAGAGGAAAGGCCTTTCGGAGCTGCGATCGGGTAAGTCGGGGGGCTCCCGGGGCGGCTGGCACCGGGCGATCCGGCCCGCGGTCCCCCGCCCCCCGCCGCTCAGCCTGTGTGTCTCCCCGACCCTTTCTCCCGTGTAGAGCTCTACTTCCTCATCGCCCGGTTCCTGGAAGATGGACCCTGTCAGCAGGCGGCTCAGGTAG